CTCGATCAAAACAAATAAACTTTATCTCTAAATAAAAATATATTATGAACCTATTAATAGAAACAAAGATGATTGATTATAAGCCACATGAAACTCCAATTGAAGCAGGTTAAAAACTAGACACAGATGAAAAATGGATAGAGATATCGAGCAGTATCGACGATTAGTTGGGAAACTTGTTAATCACATATATATCGACATTGCCTTTGAAATAAGTCTCATAAGTTAGTTTATGCGCAAAGCTCTACAAGCTGTTTATCTCTACCTTACATACTTGAAATCAAATTCAACAAAGTAAAATTTCGGCAAAAAAATTGATACTCTATAACTTGATGGTTATATTGATGGCAACTATGTGGGATAACTGGTGAATATAAGATTCACTTCATGATATTGCATACTTTTGGGAGGATGTTTAATAACACAAAAAATAAAAAAAGAAGAAAAAAACAACCTATTGTTTTAAGATGCAATGTTGAATCCCACTTTAGAGTCATTGCTTAAGAGACATGCTAACTCCTATGGATTAAAATCATCTTGGGAGATTTAAAATTTAGATAAACAGTGCTTATGAAGATATACTGTGGTAATAATTTACCGTTCATATTATTCATAATTCTACATAACATGATCATATCAAACACGTGGAAGTGGATAAATATTTTATTAAATGGAATTTAAAAGGTTGATTGATATGCACTCCATATATTTTAACAAGACGACAAATTGCTGACATATTCATCGAAGGTTTAGCAACCTTATATTCAGGAACATTTTAAGCAAAAGTAGAATGCTAGATTTCTATCATCCAATTCAAAGGGGCTGTTGAAGGGCCATTGGTTTAAAAAGGACCGGCGGAAGTGCTAATTAAATAGAATTAGATATCATGGAATCATTTCTTTTGAGGAAAATAATTTTCCGATGAATTCACGTATTAAAAAAAGAAAGAAAGAGGCCGCAGATTGTCCCTTTGACATTAGTAAAAATGGATCAAACAACTAGGTAGTTAGGGGTGATTTTTGTTTTTATTATTGTAAATTTGTAATTATTTATTTTCTTTTTTTTTTCTTTAAAAAAGAATGATCCATGCTTTCCTAATCACTAATTCTTTTCTACATGATTAGTCGAGTTTAATTTAACTATATGACTTAGTTCCAAATGGCTAACTTGATTGGATTGAGCTAAGACACGTCAAATCCTTTGCATTATTAGCCATTCGACATAAGGTTTCCATCGTTTCTTTTCACAATCCACTATTGTATGAAGCTGTATTATTTACAGTCAGGGCAGTGAAGATCTATATCTTTTATTTCATCATGTTTATATTCCTGTGGAGCATCATAAAGTTCATATGGAAATATTCTCTCTTTTTGGTGGAAATTGAAGAGGTTTGTCCATCTTTCTTTGATGTTTCTAATGTTTGGCTTGAAAAACTATAACTATTTGGATGAGATTGTAAAAACATTGCAGTTCATCCGTGGATGCCGGATGGAGGGAGAGGGCATATAGGAGGATGATGTTCATATTGTAAAAATGGCGTGAGATAGAGGTTTGATAGGCTTATAGACGCGGGTTGGAGGCATGGTTGAGCATTTTGTTCGTGTTATTTGTTTTTGGAGCTTCTAGAGGAGGTAGTAGGAACATCTGAATCCAAGGAGTTATATATAAATTCCGAATAAGCTGTGGAGAGGAGGTATCGAGAATAATGAATGACAAATTTTTACATATTGTTGGCTATATATGCTCATGTCAAATCAATGTTTAATAACATCTTTGTCTAGATGGCATATTTAGCTAGGGATGGGATGGGGATGATACCAGAGTTAACTCGAGCCACAATAGGAACAATAAATATTATTAGTGAAAGCAAATAGACGGTTATAATCAATACACTTGAAAGGGGAAATACAACAACATGCACAAACCAACACAACTAGAGTTTATCCCAAGGATGGTGGTGGTCGTCGACGAGGGCTTGGAAAAGGTGGCGCTGGGGTGGAAAAGGTGGTTGGCAAGTAGAAAACAACAAGATGGCTTCTCCAGTGCCAAACATTAAACCAACAACGGGGAATGATGTGGGAGGGCTGCACGGAGTGATGGCAGCAAGGATACAGGGCTAAAATGGTGACGGTGGCAAAGAGGAGGGACTGGACAGTAGTGGAACGGCTGAAAAGGGCGGTTATGGGTTGCAACAACAAATGAGGAGGGAGGTGGCTGCGAAGGGGAGGAGTTGCGGCAAAAGCATCAAGCTGGAATGAGGGAAACGGGTGGCCGGGTGGCTGGAACAACTATTTGGGGTGGCTGCAACGAGCGGGAATGATAGTGTTAGCAGCGGGGAGGCGTGGGACTGCAGGACAGCAAATAGAGGGCTGTCCCGGGGCTGTGGTGGCAAGGGGGGTGGCTGGAAAGCGAAGACGAACGGCTGGAATGAGTGGCAAAAGGTGGGAGGTGGCCAGAAAGGATGACAACAGGTTGAGGAGGTGGTGGTTGGCGGCTGAAGTTGCATGAAGACATTAGGAGTGCTGTTCGGTGATCCCGATAGTGAGGAAAGGCGGCTACGAAGACGACGACGATGGTGAAGGGAGAGTTGTGGAGAATGGAAAATTGAGGATAAATATCTCTGCAAGATCGAACTACACTTGGAGCGCCATTCAATCCTTGGAAGACAGTCTCAACCTTGGACGAGTTACAACTATAGCACCTTCTAGTATTTGGATGCAACCCTAGAAGTGGAACATCGAAAGCCGATGGTTGTTCTGAATAGAAACATTCATAAAAGGTCCTTTAATACAAATAAAAAACAAACATATATAAGCTTGGGCAACTTGGGATTGGACCCCACGTTAATTGGTGGAAAATCCTGTGAAGGTAGGGTCGGTTGGCTCCCTGGACTTCCCCACTATTTTAACCCATACTTGAAAGGCGTGATGACTAATTTAGCACTTTTATAGACTCATAAATTAAAATGGCTCCATGCAAATAGTCAAGAGACTATTTTGCACTCTGCTTTATAATTTTTTTTTGTGGTTTTAAATGAGCAGCTTTTGACTGATGTTTTACTTGCATTGGAGGATTGAACGCTATATAACTGACAATTTGAGATGTCTATGTTTATTTTATGGCTCTAAAACTTGTTTCTTACAGCTTTAATAACAGGATATAGCTTCATTTTGTTCTCTGTTTTGTTAGAGAAATTCTAGATTAATTTCTATTTGTTCCTCGGTGGCAAACTATTTTTGTAGAATTTCCACAGTAGTTGTTTCCTTACATTACTGGATTACAACCAGATTGTTTCAACAACTAGAACAATAAAACCTTTAAACCACTAAGCGGGGTCTGCTACATGAATTTTTTTCTCCATTATGTCCTATTTAGTGTCATATTTTGGTTTAAATTTACTAAATTGAGATCATTTTTTATACAATATGCCCAAGTCTTCCAAGGTTTACCTCTGCCTTTCTTAGTATAAGTCGAATCTAAAACATTTACTATTCTAATCGGATCATCAGATGATCGACGTTTAGTGTGACAAAATCATCTAAAACGACTCTTTATAATTTTGTCCGTAATTGAAGCTACACCAACCCTATCACAGATATATTCATTTCGCATTTTGTCTCTAAATGTAAAGCCACTCATCCACCTAATCATTCTCTTCTCGGCAATACTTAACTTTGTTTTATGCTTTTCTTTTAAAGGCCAACATTCAACGCCATAGAGTATTGCAGGTCTCACCACCGTCTTATAAAATTTTCCTTCCTGTCTAAGCGGTACTTTTCTATCACACAATAGGCCGAAAGCATTCCTTCACTTCAACCAACCAACTTGAATTCTACTAATAACATCCCCATCAATATCACCATCACTTTGAAAAATAGATACGAGATATTTAAAGCGTTCACACCTTTTAATAATCTGATCACCCATAGTTACATTTCCGTCACTAGTGCTACTACTATTAAAATTACATTCAATGTATTGAGTTTTAGTTCTACTCAAACGAAGGCCTTGAAACTCTAAGGTAGACCTCCATAATTTAATTTTTTCCTGAGTTTTTTCTCTGATCTTATCCACGAGAAGGATATCATCAACAAAAGGCATACACCATGGTGCATCCTCCTGTAAGTGTCCAGTAAATTACGACCATATTTTTTTTATCAAAATATTTCCCGCTTGCTGCTATTTGATAGCTCGCCCTTACACATGCACTGAAATTTGGGAAAATTTCATACTTACCACACAATTCTTTTGTATTTACATCACCCAAACCTATGCATGAGAAGGTGTATTTCACTTTTAAAAAAAATAATGATGGTGGTATTTTTGACGTGATGTTAAAGGTTTGAGTGCTATGCATGTAACTATGAATATGTTAATACATAAGAATTGTATGGTATGTATGTAAATTCCCATTTTTTTTCTGACGTATGAATAGAGTATACAAGTAGCATTTGAGTTGTCTTTGAATACCTGTAGAAAAATGATCATAATCTTTCATTTATATAGGGCAGTTCTGCTGTCAGTCATTGCATATATCATAGTTAAAATATAATTTCAGCTTGTTTTAGTAAGATTTCCATTCAGCTTCTTGTGCATTCTAGAAATGATTTGTGCGTTTAGAAAATTAAAAAAAGAGTAAATTCTATCAAGTAATGTAATAAATGAAAGAAGGTAGGAGTCTTTAAAAAATAATAAACAAAAACTAAATTTCAAAATTTGAAGGTTTGTGTAGCGTTCTAAATTTTAAGTTGATAGAATTTTTTTTTCTTAAATCAGTTTGATTTATTTTCAACATGCCAATGATATTTTATTTTAAATCAAAACATAAATAAATCAAACTAAAAACACAAAATATAAAACAAAAAATAAAAGTGATCGTAAATGGCCTCTGTGATGATCTTTTATCAGTTTCTAGATAGATGCTTATTTCTCTCATAATCTATTATGTGATTCAACATTTTCTACATTAACATTTTCTGAAGAATTCACAATTATTTCAGTTCAAACATGTCAGCCAAATACGTCATTGGAGCCTTGGCAGGGTCCTTTGCTATCGCCTATATCTCTGATAAATTTGTAGCGGATTACAAGATATTTGGAGGTCAGTAGAATTCCTGCTTCTGTTCTTTATTTCGCCTGCATACCACTCAATTCTTTTGTATTCTACTCAATTCTTTTGTATTTACATATCTAACACCTAAACTTCAATTTTTACATATTTTCCGTCTTATCTATCCATAAAAAAAGCACAGTTTACTCTTTAAAATGTAAAATAATGATATATTTTTTTTATGTTATATGAAAGATTTGGGTGGTGTACATGTAAAAAGTAAATTTTAGGTGTCAGATCTGTAAATACGTAAGAATTGAGCGTTTCATATGTAGATGCCACTTCTTTTTTTTTTTTTTGAAAGATTTGTACATACCACTGAATTCTTATATGTGCACACATCTAATACCTTAGCTTCAATTTTTACGTACGCGCCACCTTCCCTATGCTTGAAAAGTTGTATTTCACTTCTTATAAGTCAAAATGATAGTATTTTTGATATGATATTAAAGATTTAGCTGGTATAAACGTAAAAAGTAAAGTTTCACGTAACTGACTCTTTTAATCAGGCACCACTCCAAAGACTGTATCTGACAAGGAATGGTGGGAAGCAACTGACAAGAAGTTTCAGGCCTGGCCTCGCACCGCCGGACCGCCGGTGGTGATGAACCCGATCAGCCGCCAGAATTTTATTGTCAAGTCGTCCGACTCCTAAAGCTTGTCATCGAATGTTAAGGTATGTGAAATGGTATTACTTCGTGATGGATTGGATTAAATAAATCATTGAGAATTGTTGGAAGAACCTAGACGTTTTATAATGTTCACCAAACTCTAATGTTTTGAGGGAGACATTTGGTTATGTTAATTCAAGTTTTAATATATTTTGCTTTCTTTAATTTAACATTTGGAAGAAAATGTAAGTTGGTCTTGTGTTGATGTTTGTTGAATCTAAGAAAAGTATGTTGATTTTTTACTGATGGCTTATGGTTAAGTGTGCATCTTTAATTTAAGTTTGATTTTTTATGACACCATCACTATCATTTTACAAGTTAAATGCACATTTTCATGCACATGTTTATGACACCAATGTGTTGTAAGTGTAAATAGCGTCAAATTCCTGACTGTTTGGTTTGATCATGGTACATGCAAATACATGAGTTTGACAATTTATAAAAAATGGCATAGGTGTCTATTATGTAAATAGGTAAAATTTGAGTGTTGTGTATGAATTTTCTCTTTTTTCCTTTATGAAAAAAAAAATTGCCATTCAAGTAATTCAAATGAACCTATAAACATGTTGTATTTGCATGTAATTCAATCCCAAATCATTGAGAATGGAAGTTAGTGGTTCTGTGATGCTGTTCAGGATTTAGGTAATTTTATTGTTAGATGGTGGGAATATTTTCGAGGTGTGCGCTCACTGTGAGTAGGGGTGTAAACGAGCCGAACACGAGCATTTTGACAACTTTAGTCAATGCGCTCACTGTGAGTAGGGGTGTAAACGAGCCGAACGCGAGCGAGCTTAGACTTAGCTCATGTTTGACTCGTTAAAAAATATCAATATTCGTGTTCAACTCGTTTATATTTCGAACAAAAAGAAATTGTGTTCTTGTTTGGCTCGCGAGCATTTTGACAACTTTAGTCAATTTTGCTTAACGTTCGTGAACAAAGAGTCATTTTGACAACTCTAGTCAAGCAATTGTAGGATATTACGGATTTGGGCGTGGTTTGTTAGCTTAGCGAACGAATCGAATATGAGCTTCTTAATAAGCCGAGCACGAGGTGTTCGCGGCCCTAACTGTGGGAGCCGAACTCGCATGTTATGAGTAGTGCATGGCTCAATTATTTTGTTGATGTAATAATAATTTTGTGATTAATATTGACTTGCTTTTGTTAATATCAATTTAATCATACAGTAAAACAGGTTATATGTTGTTTGCTATTCGAATACATGCTTATTAAATTGGGATGACATTTACAGACATACTACAAAATTCTTATATATTTATATATCTAATACCTAAATTTTGATATTTACATAAATAACACTCAAATCTTTAACAGCTCATAAAAAAATTAGCACGATTATTAAAGTTTAAAAGTAAATTATATATTTTTTTATTAGAATTTTCAGAGATAATTTTTGCCATCATATATGTTCTTACTTAAATTCATTTAATTTGATATAAATTGTCAAATTATTCAAATTTGCGCATTTGATTAACATCATCAATAAAATTCGTGATAAATATATTTTTATTTCTTATTTATTACACTCAAAATTTTCATATCAAATAAAAAAAATATTATTATCATTTACTTTAAAAAAGTTTAGCCCATCTTTTTAAGCAGTGGTAGTGGTATGGATGCTAAATTATAAATTCGATCTTCTTTCGTGTCGAGTTGGGTGCAGTTCAAAATCAGTTCGAAAAAAATTCGATTCAAAATTTTTGGCTCGTAACTGAGTTGGTTTATTTTATTGACCACCCGATCTCGATTCGAGTCAAAATTCAAATCAAATTCATGGTCCTAAAATAAATACATAAAACTTATGTAATTTACATTTAAATCTAAAGAATTAAAATATAAATTGAGTTTGGTATATTTTATGATATTAATAAAAATGGGACTAATTAGATGCTAGTTTTTTATTTGAGGGATTTGAGTGAAACTCCTTAATTGAGAGGAAAAAAGAGCTATAAATAGACCGCTATTTCGAGCAGCAATTCAGTCCCGCGCTCTGAGTGAAGGTGAAGTGAAGATGAAGAAGAGAGGTTCGTCAGCGAAATCGCTCTCCAAGGCGAAATCCCTTCTTTCTCCTCTCCCCTCCCCGTCGGCGGAGATCAGATCCGGCGAGGCTTACGGATTCAACTCCTTTGTTTTTGCTTCTTCCAGCAAGAAGAAAGGCCTGTCTCCAGCTTCCGTCCTCCGATCTCCGTGCACTCCCGCGAAGCCGCTGTCGACAACTTCAGATCTAAAGGATCTGGCCTGTTCAGGCATCGAATCTTTGAAGCGGCGAGCTGAAGTGAACGACACTGACGTTCTCAAAGAGATCGATGCCTCCTATAGTAGGATCTCCAAGAGATTTAAGGTAATCTCTATGAGTTATCCGAAATGGATCATTGTCCTGTGATTTGAGAATGTGGTGCTGAATTTTAATGGGATCAGTTTTTTTTTTTATTATTGATGTCATTTTCTTAAGTGCTTCGGATTGTCTGATGTGTCACCGAAGTCATCCTAATGCTTTAGTGCTGCTTTCTTTTGGTTGCTGATTGTATTGTGATATGGACGAGTCTATGTGTTGTTTGGAATTGATCTCCTTAAAATTTTGACGTGATTTGTTTTGAGCTTCGAATTTTGAGTGAGTAAAAAGTTCGAGCGGAAACATGAGGAAAATGGTGTAAGAGAATTTAGGCGAAGTTGGTGCACTCAGCAGCAGAGCTGAACGTCTGATTCACTACAAGCGAGATGATGAGGAAAGGATTTTTGGCGGCTCAACGTTAGTCTACTGAGTAATGAGTATATATATGTATTTTTTTTTTATTGAGGAGAAGATCGACAGGAGTTGAATAGGGAGTACGGCTTGATTAGAGCGGGAATGTAGATTAACAATAATTTATGTTTTCTCCAAGATTGGAGCTATTTGATGATGACTAATATGCTTCCCATGTTCTCATCAGATTGAGTCAGTTTAAAAAGGTAATTTCATCTGTTATGAATGAGTTCAATCTATATTTTTTAAACTCTAGATCTATTGATGCATCTATCATTTCTGTTCGCACTGTATACTAGGTTCCATAATCTCCTGATCGTACTGCCAAGTGTTAGTTATTTACAGTTCATAGAATGTCTAATCTGAATCTACTGAGATAATGTTATTGCTTTTTATGTAATTATATGATGGTAAAACCCTTAGAAATTAAGTTGAATTTGTACTATTCTGCTTTGGGCATATACATGAGGCAGATGATGCATGAATTTGAAGTGTTGATTTGTTAGGGATCTTCATTGTCGGCTTATATGGAAGCAGTCTTAAAAGATTGACGCTCAGATGCTCAGGTTCCAGCTGAACACCGTGTGAGCTATTGTGGCTACTCTAATGTGTACATTTTGACATTATTTAGTCCCGTGCTTTCTTCTTGGAAGGTGAGATAAACTAATTGGATGTCGCCTCTTTTTAAATTTTCAAGGGAAAATATAGGATCCTTTAAGTGGTTTAAGAAAGAAATTAGATTTGTGTTATGTTGGTGCCTAAGGAAAATTTAGTCTTTTTTAGCCTAAGGGTAATTTATTCATTTGTTATTTATTATTGTTTGGTATTAATAGAGTTAATAGTTTTGGGTTAAGCATGCATAAGATTGTGTCTTGAGTCTTAGCGTTAAGGTTAGGGAGAGATCTCCTACCTCTCCAATTGTAGGATTTGGTAGAGATTGCATACTTTTCGAATTGTAGGAGCTTATCTTAAAACTTTAGGGTTAGGCCATGATGAGATTGTGACGTGCAGAGACCCGAAACTCCCATCACGGCATACACGTTCCGCACAATACAAGCACTATTTGAGCTAGCTGAGAAGAGATCACGAGACCATGCGAGACAGTCGCGATTGAGCTAACTAGAAAGCAACGATGGGATCACATACAAGCTCCTAAATCGCAATTTGTCAATCTGACGGGATTGTGGCTTTAAACGACCTCATTGTACATGCAATATTTTCACCTTTGTAATAAAAAATTTTCCTAGAAGTAATGGAGGATAAGAAAGTAGATAATTTGGAGAAGAAATTGGAGAAAAGATGATCCAAATTAGATGGGATGGAAATGTTCTAAACCAAAGATGGAAGATTTTCCTTCTTGGGAACTTGATTTGAGGGCCAATTCGAGATGATGAGAGAACTTATTGAGATGCAGTCCAAGATCCCGTCGGATTCCTGAGCTAAATCAAAAGGGAAACTAATCAGACGAGAGGAACATGACGAGGAAAGTATCCACCACCAAGAACCCCTTCCTAGGGCTCTGATGGAGGGTAGAGCTGAGATTTCTGATAGAGGGAGTTGAGCTGAAACATAGAAAAGAGGTTATGCAAGGGGTGTGAAGGAACACAAAGGAGAAAGGAAAGAAGTCATTATGACTATGATCGAAGGAGGGAGTTTTACTCCAAATACATGGAGTGAAACACCAGAGGGAGATCAAGTTGGGGTGGAGATGATAGGTTTAGAAACTTAAAGATGTCGATCTTCGAGGGGGAAGATGAGCATGAATGGGCGTACCAGGTAGAGTGATATTTCACAGTGAATGTGCTAATGGGGAGGAGAAGGTTATGGCAGTAGGGTTAGGTTTGGAGGGAAAAACCCTGACATTGTTTCAATAGAGGGAGAATAGATACCCGATCCGCACAAGGAATTTAAGGATTGCCTGAGCCCTTTGAGATGGAGACCTACATGAGCAATTCCTTACCTTGAATCAAGAGGGGGCCGTCATGAAGTATATGGAGAAATTTGAAATGCTACCTGGCGTTTGAGACTGATATCAGACTAGTTATTGGAATGAAACTTTGTGAAAGAATTGAAGCCAGAGTTTCAAGCATCCCGTCATCTGTTGAGACTGCAATAATTGAGTGAAACTACAAAATTAGCGTAGTTTATTGAAATAAAAATGCAATTGAATGGGCTGATAGGAGCAGCACAGGTGGAGCATCATATCGAAATGCTAAAATCATGACGATACCAAAAGTTCAAACAGTGTAAGTCCAAAAAAAGGCTCCACAACACATGAATGATAGGCCACAATTGCAAGCGTCATTCAAACTCTTTACAGAGATAGAGATCCAGGAAAAACGAGCAAAAGGGTTATGTGTTCGGTGTGATGAAAAGTTTTTCCAGGGCACCGTTGTGAGGATTAGACATTGCAGGTTCTCATAGTGTGTGACGAGGAGGGGGGAGCTTGATCTAGCAGCAATTTTCTTTCATTTACCTTGAGGATAAGGTGGTTCTTTGGAAGGGGAGTATTGTTATGCTGGTTGCTAAGGACAATTTAGTCTTTATTAGCCTAAGGGCAATTTCGTTATTTGTCATTTACTATTGTTTAGTAGAAATAGGGTTTAATAGTTTAGGGTTAGACATGCATGAGATTGTGTCTTGAGTCTTAGGTTTAGGGTTTGAGATAGATTTTCCATCTCTTGAATTGTAGGATTTGGGAAGATCACCCATCTCTCGAATTGAAGGTGATTATCTTTTATGTAGTCAAAGTTGAGTTGTAAACTGTAATCATTGATTTGCTTTTGGCAGAATAAAATAAATATTATTTTTGTCGTAATTTCTCAAGGCAATCATCTCGGCTCCTATCAATTTGCTTTCAATCAAGTTATTAAAAGGATCAGATGTTGTACTAGATCTATTCTTCAAGCACAGGTTTTTAGAAGGCACATTATTTTTCAGGTACACTTAAATTTACCGGTGGTTAAATAGTTCATTTTCCCTTTCTCCCATCTTCTTCCAGAGAGCTGCTTGGGCCCCTTTTTTTTCCCTTTCGCAACACAGGTAAAGGTTTATTCTGTTTATTGTTTGCCATCTGATTAGTACTAAATTGTTATCATTTCCTATTTCATGATGATACTACGTTTCTCATTATATTTTTTATGTTGTTTACCATTCAGTGCAATCGATTACGAGAATAAGTGCATAAAATCAAGTTGCTGTATACTATTGGCCATTTTATGTGATAAAAATGCTGGCCGATTTTAGGATATTAAATCAAATTGCCATAAAATATTAGGCTTTATCTGTAACATAAATGCTTGATGATATTAGTGATTATGTTATAAGATAATATTGGCCTGTAGTAGCTGTAAATGAATTTACAAATTTATAATGATTTACCACCATCCAGCCCTGCATTTTTTCTGTTTTTCCATGTATCGCCATGTTAGCTTTCCGGTCAGTGGCAAGATATACGAAACAGTTCAGCACAACATTATTAATCGGGAACTTAATTTATATTTGTTCCTCAGATCCAGACACAAGCATGCATGCAATTAGCTGAGGAAGCAGAAAGGGAGTATAAGAAGATATCAGATAAGATTGATGAAAATATGAAAGCAATAAAGGTATATCCATGCAGACATAAAGGATGATGAAATATGAAAGCAATAAAGGTATATCCATGCAGACATGAAGGATGAATTTTTGTGGCATCTGTCGCACTTTAATTGAGGAAGATTTACATACAGACCACGTAATTCTTATGTTTTGCATATCCAATACTTGAATAATTTTGATTTTATCTAACGTCACATCATTAAATTTTCTAGGGAAGTATATATTTCATGCATATCTTTGGATGGGAATTTGTGAATACATAAATATTGGGTGGTATGTATGTAAATCCTCCTTCAATTAATCCTATACGTTATTTTCCAGGGTTCATACGTGGATTTCATGGCTGAAGTTCAAGCAGCAACTTCACGAGGTATGAAATATTCCTTTTTAGTTTTTTTTTTTTTTTTTTTGAATTGATAAATTGTAAGTTCAATTATTTTAGCCATCCTTTCAATTAATAAATTTAGGTGCACCTGAAAAATATTGAACATGCATAGGAAGATTTAAATACATACCACTCAATTCCTTTATTCCTATGTATTTAATTATCTAACACCCAAACTTCAATATATATATATATATATATATAGATATAAATATGATTTATAAATGTATAGATAGATATGATACCTAACCACTATGCATGAAAAGATGTATTTCACTTTTTAAAAGTTAAAATTATGATAAAGATTTTGAGTGGTATAAATGTAAAAAAAATAATATTTAGGTGTTAGATATATATATATGTAACATTGGAAATGGGTGGTATGGTATATATGTAAATGTCCATATTACAATAATCATTAATCCATTTACTTCAATAAACAGTTGCAAATTTAGATTAGTCTGAAATCTTGAAACGCTCTGTTGAACAGTGTGCAAGGTATCCATTCCAGAGCTTGCGAAATCAGCTGAGAAGGCTATTGAGGGCTTGCATGGGCGCTACGGTATTACTGCAAATTTAGCATGATTTGTCAAGCAGCGACCATCGAATTACGGTATTACTGCAAATTTTAGTCTTAACGATATGCTTTGAAATGCGTGCAACATGCAATATTAATTTTGATTCGTTAATCATGCATTATGTGCTCGTCTTGAAATAAATTTGACGGCTACTCGTTTGTCATCTCTGTGTTCTTCATGCCTCCATAATCCTTCCTTTATGGCTGATCATTAAGCTGCTCATCGACGCTCAAAAATTTTCTTTTTCCAGGCTTATACTGAAGAAAATTACTGTTGTCTTGTCTTCGCATTTAGGGCAGTCAAAACGACTCGTTGTTCGCGAACAACTCGTGTTCGGCTCTTTCGCTAAGTTAACGAGCCGAACATAAACAAGTTCAGCTCGTTTTGGCTTGAAATACTACTAATCAATTATCTGTGTGTGTGTGTATTTGATGAGTAGTATTTTTAAAAAACTTAATTGACTACAAGACTATAAAGATTTATAATCAATTATAAATATTAATTAAGAAAATATAATAAAAATTGTTAAATTAGATTCAAATGATGTTTTAATATAAACAATAATTTTTAAATATTATCCCAATCATTAACATCTTCTGGCTACCTGATTAGGATTGTCAAAACGATGCTTTGTTCGTGAACGGCTCGTGTTCGGCTTGCTAAGCAAATGAGCCGAACACGAACACACTTTTTGAGCTCGAAATATAAACGAGCCGAACACGAGCTAA